CTGTGCAGGGGTGGGTTCAGGGTGTCCACCTGCCTGAGTTCCCCCCCATGGGTGGCATCTGGCAAGGCTGCTTGGCTGTCCCAGCCCCACAAGCAGGAGGGGTCCTGGGAAGCTCCTGTCTCCTCTCTTGCAGAGCTCTCGGAGGGCTGCAAGTGTCGCAATGGGGGCAGTTGTCTGGAGGGGAATGTCACCATCTGCCAGTGCCCACTTGGTTTTTTTGGTCTCCTCTGTGAATTTGGTAGGTGAAGGCTTCTCGCTCGCTATGTTTGTTCCCTCTCTGGGATGCTTGAGCCAGGCAGGCTGTGGGCAAGCAAGGAGGCACTCTGCCCATGCTTGAGCCTAGCACGGTACCAGGGGCACACACTGAATTTGAGCCTGGAAATATTGTTCCCTGGTGAGGAGGCAACACTTCCATCTCCATAGCTCCCCTTGAGCTGTGCCTCTCCCAGCCCCTGGCCCCAGCCTGGCTCCCCTGGGTGGGGAGGGAACCACAGCCTTCATGTGCTCCCACTCCGAAGCTGGCCCTTGCTGTTCACATGGTCTGTGGTGTGGGGTACAGAGGGTCCCTCCCATCTCATCAGACCCTGCAAAGTTAGGAGACCCCTGTTTCTGGCCAGGCAGCCGGCTGGGCATTCTGCTGCCACTGGCTGATGGAGGCCGGCGCTGACCATGTGTTTGCAGAAGTCACCACCACGCCCTGCAACATGAACACGCAGTGCCCGGACGGTGGGTACTGCATGGAGTATGGCGGGAGCTACCTCTGCGTCTGCCACACTGACTACGGCACCAACCACAGTAAGTCTTGTCTGTGGGGATGCAGACCCAGCCCTGGGGAGGGACACGTGACAGGGGCTGGGGGGTTGAGCAGGGATATTGTCATCAGCCTGGGAGCAGACCTCACACCCCTGGTTGTATGTCCTCAGTGATGACCTGTGTTTGGCTTTGCAGCAATGCCATCCCCCTGTGACTCAGAGCCCTGCCTGAATGGGGGGTCCTGTGAGGTTCACGATGACTCGTATGCCTGCGAGTGTCCTCGAGGATTCCTTGGCAAGCACTGCGAGAAAGGTACCCACATGGAGCGCCCTACCAGCCCCAGGGCCTGGTAGGGGGTGGGAGAAGAGCTTGGACCCTTGTGGAAGATGAGTGGCTGCTTGCTCACCTGCAGCTGGAATTGGGTGCAGGTTATCCCATCCCATCCCATTCCTTCCTGCAGGGTGGAGGGAGGATTGTGTGGCTCCCTTCACAGCCCCTGACAGTCGCAACAGCTGATCCAGTTGTTGGGTTTCCTGCACAATGCCATCAGTGTTGGAGTTTTTTTACATGCCTGAGCTTCTGGCCTCAGGAGCAGCCGCCAGTCCTCTGGCATCATGTGCCTGTGTCCCCCTGAGGCCCTGGCACATGTCTGCACGGGTGTTGTTTCACGGTGTTGCTGACCCCAGGGTTGTGAGGCCCAGGTGCACTCAGCTTTCCTGCAGCGAGGGGTTGGTGGGGTGTTGGTGGGAGGCAGTGGCTCTTGGGGTGCTGGCAGCAGTGGGTGACCCCTGCTTTTGGCACTCTCTCTACAGCCAAGCCACGACTCTGCAGCATGGGGCCCTGTCGCAATGGGGGCACCTGCAGGGAGGCGGATGGCGAGTACCACTGCACCTGCCCCTACCGCTTCACTGGCAAGCACTGCGAGATCGGTACGGTCCCCCGGCCCCCACCCGGGGAGGAGAGGTGGCAGTCGTCCCGCTTGGTGCTCAGCTCCTGCCTGCCCTTTGCCCCCAGGTAAGCCAGACCCCTGTGCTTCGGGGCCCTGCCAGAATGGGGGCACCTGCTTCCACTACATCGGCAAGTACAAGTGCGACTGTCCCCCAGGCTACGCGGGCCGGCACTGCGAGATCGGTAGGTGTGAGCAGGGCCCTCCAGTGCCAGGGCCTGCCTGGGGAGGTGTTGGGGCTGTTGGTGGCAGCAAGTGAGCCTTGCTGCTTGCTTTGAACCCCCTTCCCTGTAATTTGAAGTGCTTCAATTTTTCCTTGCACCCTGCTGGAGGGCAGGGCAGTGCTACGGGAGAGGGGAAAGGGGATCGGTCTGGTTTCTGGGCTCTGCCAGCTCTGCAGCGGTCGCTCTTTGCTCCGCTCTTCTTCTAGTGCCCTCCCCATGCTTCCTCAGCCCCTGTGAGAATGGTGCTACCTGCGAGGACCTCGGCGGGGGCTATGCTTGCATGTGCCCTGTGGGCTACATAGGGAAGCACTGCCAGTCTGGTAAGGGCCTTTTGCTGCCCCTGCCAGCCAGGGGCTCACAGTGCCTCTGTGGGCCTCACTCACCGCCTCCCCCTCTCTCCCCAGAGGTTGACTGCGGCATCCCCAGTGAGGTGAAGCACGCTCGGGCCTCTTTCAACTCCACCAAGGTGGGCTCGCTGGCTGAATACCAGTGTGAGCTGGGCTACTCCCTCAGTCAGCACAACCACCCCCGTGTCTGCCGCTTGCCAGGTGTCTGGAGCGACCCCCCTGAGTGCGATGGTGAGGAGCGCTGGGGAATGGTTGAGCGGCGCACCATCCCAGTGGACTGTGGTCATGACCATGGCTTGGTGACCCCAGGACATGTACTGCAGTCCTCCCCTGCCTGTGTCTATGCACAGAACTCCCTGGGGAGCCCTGCCCGATGCTCACATCTCTTGCCTTGTCTCTCCCCTGCCTAAATGCCTGCAGAGATTGATGAGTGCTGGTCCCAGCCCTGCCTGAACGGTGGCCGGTGCAAGGACCGCATCGCTGAGTTCCTGTGCTTGTGTGAGCCAGGTTACACTGGCCACCACTGCGAGTCAGGTAAAAGACCGTGCCAGGTATGCTCCAGGGCTGCCACAGGCAGCTATAGCAAACCTTTCCTTGCCCCCAGCCTGTGGGGAACAACAGCAGGTGTGAACCCCACAGCCAGGAGCCAGGCTGCCTGTGGTTGTTTCCTGCCTGTGTGGTCAGATCAGTCTGTGTCCAGGGCTCCTCTTCCAGAGCCCCTGGCCAGGTGTGGGATGCACCAATGGGGAGATGCTGCTCCTGGTCGGGTGGAGGAGCAGGCAGGGCTGCGGGGGCACATGTGCTACTTGTGTCCCCCTGCTAATGGATGCTGTGTAGGTATCTCCATCACTGATGGGGCAATGACTTCTCCTGACGTGTTAAGCCCATACAGAGAAGCCCCAAATCTTGGAATCTGGGTGGGAAGTGCCCTGCATAGGTCCAAAGCTATTGGCCAAGAGTGGGGAGAAAAAGCAGATTGATGTTGCGCGTTTTTGGCTGCACTGTGCTCCTGCTCCCATGTATGCACATGGTCGTGGTTGCATGTGGGCGGTGGTTGAAGGGGGTGATGGGCAGCACTGGGGCTGGTGGGACTGTGTTGCAGGTGGCTCTAGCTAGGTCCCCAGGGCCTGGCAGAGAATGGTGGGAGGTGGGATGCCTGCAGGGGGTTAGAGGAGAGGATGTACTGCAGGCACCCTGCTGGACCTCTTGGCACAGCCACACACTGGCAGCCATCCCCAGGTGTCCTTGTGGGCACGTCCCCATGCCCAGCTCCTGCTGCAGCCCCCACGCAGGGGCAGGCATGGGGCAGTGGGCTCTGGATGGCCCCAGGAACAGTGCTGTTCCTGGCTGGTGGGCTTGGGGTAGCGAGCAACGTGGGGAGGGTGTGCTCCCTGCAGGAGAAGCACTGCCTCTCCAAGCCCTCTGTCCCCTGCTGCCAGTCCCGTCTCTCTGCTGAGCCGGCACCTCTCCTCCCATCATTCCCCAGATGTCAATGAGTGCCAGTTGGAGCCCTGCAAGAACGGTGGGACCTGCCGAGACCTCCCTGGGTCCTTTGCTTGCTACTGTCCTGAGGGCTTTGTGGGGACCCAGTGTGAGACAGGTAGGGACTCACCCTTCCCGGGACAGAGGGAGGCTGGACTGCGGGCACCAGGACATGGCCAGGAGCAGCACCGAGGCAGGTGGCTGGTCACAGTTTTGGGCACCTTGACCCTGAGCCATAACCCCAGGCACTTGCTGCCTGTCATGCCTCCTTGCCTGCAGTTTCAGGGGCAGAGCTGAAACTGCTCTGGTGGGGAGGGAGCAAGAAACAAGGTGTACACCAGTGACAGAGCCCGTTTCAAAGGCATCCACCCCCTACCAGGGGACAGGGCTGCCATGGCACTTGGCGGGGATTCTGGGTCCCAACCGTCTGTGCCAAGCCCCAGGCTGTGCATCCATCCTGCAGCCCCCTCGGGGGCTCATTGCTGTCACTTGCCTGTGGGAGCTGGCTGCTGGCATGCTGGGGGCCCCCACTCACCAGCAGCCTCTTCCCTCCTCCAGAAGTGGACGCCTGTGAGTCAAGCCCTTGCCGAAATGGAGGGGATTGCGAGAACTACGGGGGCTCCTACCTCTGCGTGTGCCCAGAGGGTTTCTTTGGCTACCACTGTGAGACAGGTGAGGTGGGCAGGGCCGCTCGGCGTAGGGTGGCTACTTGGCCAGCTGGCACCGCTAACGCCGCTGGGCCTGGCGCCTCTCCCGCAGCCAGCGACCCATGCTTCTCCAGCCCCTGCGGGAGCAGAGGCTACTGCCTGCCCAGCAATGGCACCCACAGCTGCACCTGCAAAGTCAGCTACACAGGCAAGAGCTGCGAAAAAGGTAAAGGCCCTCAGCAGCGGCACCAGGACGTGGCGTGGGGCTCGACGCCGGCCTGGCGGTGGCCACTGCCCATGAGGGGCTCAACACCATCTGGGACCAGCAGCTCTCCTTGAGCTCTCCTTGAGGCAGGCAGGGCTGGGGCCTTGCCTCTGTGGGGGGCAGCCTGGGCCCCACCGATGCTGCGGGCAGGTGCTGGTATGCTGAGCTGCTGCGGCAGGTGCCAGGCTTGGCAGAAGGATGCTGGGGAGAGGTTTCCCTGGTCCCCTGCAGCAACGGCGATCCCTCGGATGCCCTCAGGAGGGGAGGCTGAGGCATCCAAGGGAAGCCTCTCACCACTGGCACTGGCCTCCCCAGGGCCCCTTGCCCCCTCTCGCCAGCACCCTAGGCCTGGCAGGCGGTGGCAAGCACTCGGCCGCTGGTGCTGCCAGCTCACGGTGGCTGGGAGTGCTCCCAGTGCCCTGGCTCCTCCTGTGCCCGCTGGGCCAGTGGCAGCTGGTTCCCACAGGGCCCCTGCCAGGTACGCCAAGGGAGAGAGCAAGGGCCCCGTCCTCCATTGCTGCCACTCTGCCTCTTGCTGCCGGGTCTGTTCTCTAAAGATTCATGGCGTTACCTCTCCCCTTTGCTTTTGCCCACACCCTGAAGAATTGCTGCCACCAACCTCATTAAAGGTGGAAAGGGTGGAGGACACTGGTGTGTTGATTTCTTGGCATCCACCTGAGGACGCAGCCGCCAGGCAACTCATTGACGGCTACGCCGTGACGTACGTATCCCTCGACGGCTCTTACCGCAGGACAGATTTTGTGGACCGAAGTCGTTCTGCCCACCAATTGCGGGCACTAGCCTCCGGCAGAGCCTACAATATTTCTGTCTTTTCAGTCAAACGCAACGTGAACAACAAGAATGATATCAGCAGGCCCGTCATGCTCACCACACGCACTAGTGAGTAGCATCCCCGGGGGGATCGCGGTCGTGAGCGTGCGCAGCCCCTGCAGGCGCCAGGGCTTGTGCCATCTCCTCCCTGCCGCTGGCTGCAGCCACAGCCTGGGCCTGTGCCAAATCCCGGTGGGTTTGGTGGTGCAGATCCTAAAATCCAGCCGGGGGCCTTTGGAAAGCGCTCAGCACAGAGAATTGCTGTTCTCTTTGCTGTGAGTAAAAGGAGACTGAACCTGCCGTGACTCACTGGGCCCCTGCCCAGGGGTTGGTAAGGGAGCTGGTAGCGGAGACCACTCCCAAATCCTGTTCATCAGGACCAGGCTGTCTGTGCCTGCCACACCAGATACCCCTTATCACTGGGCCCAGGGTAGCATGGGTCCCCAGTGCTGCTTGGCTGAGCTGGAGAAGCCCCCGCACCAGCCGGGCAGTGGGGCTGGGCAATCTCTGCTGACAATGAGCCCCATGGGCGAGTTGCCCTGCCATCCCACCAGGCTCAGCGTGGTGACATGCCAGAGGGGGCAGAGGCTGGCGAGGACCTCTGCTCTGCAGGTGGAGGGAAGGGGGCACAGTGATGCCTCGGGGGGGCACGGGCAGGTGGAGCAGATGTGGTCCTACTTTCTAGGGCAGGCAGATACAGAAATCAAGTACAAACTGAGGGTGGAGGGGATTAGACTTAGAAAAGCTGTCCTCTAATGAGAGGGGGATGGTGGTGGGAAAGCCCATGGGCCACATCCCCCCCGGCAGGCTGAGACTGAGTGAAGGCCAAGGGAGGAGAAGGCAGGTGTGGCGCTGGGCACAGCAGGGGTCTGCACCCCTGGCTGCAGCATCTTGGGAGGCCTCAAAGCCAGGGCCAGATGCCGGGGGCAGCAAGAACCAGGCTCAGGATGGCCACCTGGGGCCTGCAGTGGGCTTACAGCCAGGCCCAGGCACTGCGGCCCCTTTGGAGCTGGTGGTGGGGGGCTGGGGCCAGAGGAAGACAGGCCCAGGGGTGCTGTGGATGGCATGAGGCCTTGCAGGCAGGCAGACAGATGTGCTTCCTGCCTGCCCACACCTTCCACCTGCCTGCAGGTGGTGAGGACGGGAGAGTGTGAGTCCAGCAGGATAGGCACCACTGAGCTGCTCCCACTGGGGAGGTCAATCCAGAGGGGCAGGCAGGAGGCAGGCCCTTGTGGGGCTATGGGGAAGGGATGGGGTGACCTGCGATGACCAGCGGCTGACCACAGCCCTCTCTACTTGTTCCGGCCAGGACCGCGTCCGGTGGAAGGCTTTGAGATCACGAATGTGACGGCCAGCGCCATCATGGTGCAATGGGCTCTCCACCGGCTCAAGCACTCCACCGTCAGTAGGGTGCGTGTCTCCATCCGCCAGCTGGGGGACCTGGCAGACCGCACCGTGGAGCTGAACAGCAGCGTGGACAAGTATACCTTTCTGTGAGTGGGGTGGCAGGTGGGCACTGGACCAGCTGGCCCTCCCTGGCTGCCCACCTTACCCCTTCCCATCTTGCCTTCATCCTCCACAGGGACCTGCAGCCAGGAGAGAGGTACATTGTCCATGTCACAACGCTGAGTGGCCTGGGGACAGAAGATCACCCCTCAGAGAGTTTGGCCACAGCCCCCTTCCACGTGTGGACGAGTGAGTTGGGTTGTCTTTGCCACCCCTCCCTGCCACTGCACAGGCCCTGGGGCTTGGCAGCCACAAGCTCGTGGCCAGCAGGAAAGCTGCAGGGAGGGGAAGGTGCAAAAGCCATCAGCCTATCTGGCCAGCATGGTGGGTAGAAGGTGTGCTGGCAGCCCTCAGGAAGGGCAGGCAAGGCACTGGCATATCCTCCCCTGCCAGATGTTGTTCGTTGCCCAAGACCAGCATGAGCTCAGCCCCATGCAGAGCCCACGTGGGCCTGATTCATGCCCTGCTGTACAGCAGCCAGAGGGTGAGGGCCAGACCTGGGTGCCAGGGTGCAGTGAGGCTCTGCCCTCCTTGCCAGGGACCCAGTGCTGAGCATCTCCTCCCAGCACACTGCACAGCTGGAGCTGAGCTGAGGGCTGGCCAGGGCACGGTCAGGCAAGCTAGGGCCCTGGCACAGTTACATGGTGTGTGAGCAAGTAGGGCGGTTGCCATTCAAGGACACTAGTGCTGACCCCTTTTCTCCCCACCTCCTGCCTGCCCCAGGGCCTCTCCCCCCCCAAAACCTCACTGCCTCCCGTGTCACCACCACCTCCGTGTCTATGGCATGGGAGCAGCCACCTGCCGGCGCTGTGGAGGGGTACATCATTAATGTCACCACCGCTCAGAGTGTGAAGAGCCGCTATGTGCCCAATGGGAAGCTCGTGTCCTACACTGTGCGGGACCTGCTCCCTGGGCAGCGGTACCGCCTGTCCGTGACGGCTGTGCAGAACACGGAGCAAGGTCAAGTGCACAGCGAGCCTGTCCACCTCTACATCACCACCTGTGAGTGCACAGCTCGCCAGGGCTGGGGTGCTGTCTGTTTGCTGCAGCATGAGGGAGGAGATGGGCTAACCGGGAAGCGGGGCAGGGGGTAGAAAATCAATTGACCAACAGAGTAATGAGCCCATGGAGACTTGCTGCCCCAGAACTGGGTGCCCACAGCAGGCTGTGGGGACAGGACAGAGGTCACCTGCAAAGGGAGGTGGGGGTTGCAGGGTGCTGCCTCTGTTAGTGGAGGGCAGATGCAGAGTTACAGCTCAGTGATGCTTCATGGGGACCAGCACCTGCAGTCCAGGCATGTGGAGAGTGTGCATGTGTCCCCAGAGAGCCCTAAATGGCAGCCTGGGGATGAGGGGACTGGCTGGGAGTTGGGTTGCTGTGCTGACTCACAGCCTGCCTCCCGCTAAGCCTAACCCTTTGGTCTGCAGTGCAGAGGGATGGGGCTCCGGAGAGACGGTGGAGCCAAGCTGGACACCCCCGGGTCCTGCGCAACAGGCTGCCCCCAGCTTTCCTGCCTGAACTCCGCTTGCTAGCAGATCACAACACAGCTGAGGAGCCCTCGCCAGCCCCCAGGTAGATGCTGCCCCAGCACTCCTGGCTCTTCTACTAGTGCTCGACCCAAGCATCAGGCTGAGCACAGCCCCTTTTCCCAGCTCCCGTGTCTGGGTGTGCACAGGGTCAAGCCGTGCTTCTGCTGGGTTGTGCCTTTTGCCCACCCACTGGGGTCCTGAGCCAGGCAGTCCCATGTCCTGTGAGCAGGTCCTGCATGCTGCCCGCAGCTAAGCCCATGGGACTTGCACTGAGCCGGATGTCACCAGCGAGTGCTTTATCTAGCTGCCTCCAGCCCTAGCACATGGGGCAGCTGTGGCCTGGGGGATCCGCAGTGCCCGGTACTCTCATAGCTCTCCTGTCCCAGGTTCACCGAGCTGGTGGATGGCAGAGGGAGGATCAGTGCCAGGTTTGGCACTCCACTGAGCAAATCCATCACTGTGAAGACACGTAAGTGCTCTGCTGCCTTTCTGCCTCCCTCCTGTCACCCAGTGCCATCTCCTACGTCTCTCCCCAGGACAGGGTGGCAGCCAGGCAGGCTGCTGTAGGGCTGGGGGAGCCACAGGGGAGGGCAGGGCCCTCTCATCTCTCCCTGGGCAGACAAACATCTGCCCTGCTCTCTAGACCCCTGCCCAGTGAGAGGGGTGACACACAGCTGGTTGGGGAGCAGAGAGAGGGACCCTCAGTGATGGGAGGCAATGCTGGCTGCAGCATGGGCTGGTGTTCTATCCTGCCAGCAGCAATGGGAGCCCAGGCAGCAACACCGCAGCCCTCCAGCACAGCCTCTGCCTGTCCAGCAGCCCGAACCCCCACTGCCAAACACAGCTTCACACTTGAGAAGGGCACCTGGACAAGAAGCCCCTTGCTACCCCAGGACAGGCCCCCCTGTTTGCCATCCCTGGAACACCAGGGATACAAGTGCCAGCCCAAGATACCCTACCAGGCCCAAGAACCCCATGCCATGGGGTGGGGAAGGGGCCCAGCACACCTGACAGCAGCCCTGGGCTTGCTGCACATCTCAGCTCTGCCCCTGCCTCCTGAGGGCTCTGTGTCTCACACCCTCGAGGAAGGGTGAGGTGGTCACCATAATTCTAGGGGTGCCAGCTGGGAAGGGCGGACTCACTGCCTCAGGCCTGACCAGCTCCCTGATGCCACAGGCAGGCTGGATCCCACTGAAGGGGCTGCCTTTGGGTCTGGCCCCAGCTGGAGGTGACATTTGACCTTCTTGTTGCCCAGAGCCGGAGGCTCCAGTGAACCTGGAGAACATGGAGGTGTCCAGCCAGGGCAGTCTGGCACTGCAGCTGCGTGACGCAAAGAGCAAGAGTAAGTCTGGGGGAAGACACACAAGCAGCAGGGACCCAGCCCAGGCCCTGCAGGCAGGCAGGACTCTTGGCACCGGCACCAGCCAGCTCTTCTTGTTGCTGCTCTGCTGGGAGGCTCACAGGGGGCATCGCATGGGCCCCTGCTTGTCTGCTTGCAGCTCTCTCCTGCCCTGCCCATGTAGTTATCTGGGCACCGCAGGGCTGGGGGCTCCCCTTCTGGTGGGCCAGCTCTGTTGAGCCCAGCCCTCCAGGACAGCAGAGGGGAAGCCGGGGGGGCCTTGCTGGCTCCCTGCCACGGGGCACAGGCAGGCAGGGCCAGAGATGGGCTTGTTGATAGCTCCCCTCTCCTGTTCCCCAAGCAGTCTGCAAGAAGGTGCCACACTCGTGCACAAGGCTGTACTCGGAAACCAAGTCATTCCCTGTGTGGGAAGGAGGCATCTGCCACTACCTGTGAGTACTGCCTGTGGGTTGTGCTCCCCCCCTTTCCCTTGTGCTTAGAGCTGGGGAATGTCTCCCCACAGCTCAGCTCCGGGGAAGGGAGAGTGAGTGCAAGGCCGTCTTAGACCCTGGCTGGCAGCTGCCAGGGGGCTGCAGCCGCCCCCTCCCCAGCACAGACTGAGCAGCCTTGTCTGCCCTCAAGCCCCTGGGGCTGCCCCACCAGCTGCGTTTCAGGGCAGCCCCATAGTGGTGTGACCCACCTACATGGCAGTGAGCTTGGATTTGGTGTGCATGACCCCCCAAGCAGCACTGGATCCCTTGCCCGCTGCCTGCCAGCCCAGCTCCTAGCTGCCTCTCCATCTGCAAGCAGAGGGCTGGGGCCAGCCCTGCTGCAATGTCAGGGCATGGGGGGCCTCTGCTCTGGCCCCTGCCTCCCCCAGCCTTTTTCTGATGGAAGCACAAGGGCCTGGCTGTGTGGGCTCAGCCCACAGGCATAGCAGGCTCGGCCCCATTCCTACCAAGGCTGGCTACCGCAGCTCGGAAAGAAATGGGGAGACCCCCTGACTCCCCCCTCACAGTCATAAAAGCAGCTCTATTGCTGTTATTCCCTACAACTTGCCCCTCTGCTGTGTGTGCAGGTACAGGAGAGTCTACAAGATACACCAGGACATCTGCTACAAGGAGAGCTGTGAGAGCACTCATTCAGAGAAGACGACCAGCAGGTACAGCTAGCAGCAGCACACTAAGCACACTGGCCTTACCATGGACCGGGACAGGAGGATGCAGCCAGCTGGTGTTACCCAGCACATGCAGGGGTGCCCTGGCTGGGGGTGGGCTGGAAGAGGGGTGCAGGCACCCCATACAGAACAGAGTGCACGGAGCACACAACTGAGACACAGATACCAGCTCCGCATGCCCTCCATGTGAGCGATGGCCAAGGGGCTGCAGGGCTAACGGCACTCTCCTCCCTTCTTTTTCAGAAAAACAAGCAACAGTCACACACTGAAGAAGCCATAGAGTAAGTACCCGCTCCAGGCCCTCCTCAGTCATGAGCAGGGGCATCTCCTGCAAGTGGCTGCCTGCACCCCCTACACAGGGAGTCAGGGAGGAGAAGGGTCGAGGACCCAGCGCAGCCCAGGCTCATGCTGCCATGTCAAGGGGCGCGAGGACTTTCCAGCTGCTGCGCTGGTCAGGCTTGGGCACGTGGCTGAGGGCTCCTGGTCGTGGCTGGGGTGGAGGAGCTGAAGGCAATGAAGCCCCATGAACAAGAGATTCCTGCACAGAAAGGGCCTGGGACCTGCCTGCCTGCGCAAGGCAAAGGCTGGAGCCCTGGAGGGGGTAGGTCCCCTTCTCCTAGCCTGAGATGGGCGCACAGGGTGGGAAGATGCAGCTGCAGGGCTTTTAGGGGACTCTGCACACCAGCTCATTTTCCTCCTTGTCCTTCACAGGGTTCAAAGCAGTAGAAGCTTCATCTTTCCACATTTAAGGGCTTTTGAAACACCGGGAAGATCAGATCTGCTCACTGGGTTGAACGCAGCGGGGGAACCTTCCTGCCTGCCGTCAGCCTCTCCCTCTCCTCCAGCCCGTTAGGGACACGCAGCTGGATCAGCACGCTGAGCAGCGCTCCCTTCCTTCCGCTGGACCAGTACTGCCTTCACTCTGGCTTGCCCTACTCTGGCCACCTCTCTGCCCCCAAAGAGCTGAGCGCCAGTGTACCGTGGCAGCTGTCTGGCTGCCCCCCAAGGGGACCAGCCCCTACTTGGTCCTCCCAGCTGCTCTGCGTGAGCCACGGGCTCTCGGCTTTGCTCAGGCATCAGCAGGGCTGAGCCCAGCTCCCTGCCAACAGCATCTGCCCGCACCAGCCTGTTTTCGTAAATCCAAGGTTATAAATTACCTATAACTCCCAAATAAAACAGTTTAATGCAGACCAAAAAGCCTTAGCTATCATCACCTGAAATGTGGCCCACAAAAATCTGATTGGAGGAGACCTTCCCTATGTAGACAAGGTAGAAATGGTGAGCAGCTGCCCTGAGCAGCGAGGCAAGCACGGGCACTGGAGGCACATCCCTGTCTCCTCTGCTCTAGTAGGGGAAATTGAGGCAGCTTCTACTGCCTGCCTTTTTTCTTTGCTTTGTAAACAATCCCTGGTTTTAACCAAATTTCCAGCTCAGAAAGCAATAGAGCACCTAGAAAGAATTTTAGAAGTGGTCTGTAGCGTGAAGTTTGTCAGCTGAGGTGTAACACCACACTTGTTCTGACGCTAATCACCTCCAAGTGCAGGGCACACTACAGGCTTGGTAACAAAGCAAGCTCCACGTGCCATCCCCTAAGCCACTCACAGTGTTTGCATTCCCCATGGCACCAGCCAGTGCTGTGATGCCACCACTGTGTTGTTTGTGCAGGAGAGGACCAGTGTGCAAGGCCCTGTAGCAGCAAGGCCCCTGTAGCAGCGGCCCCACTGACTGTGGCGGGGCAGCCAATGAAAAAGTGTAGCTTAGAAACATTCCTAGTTTTTGTGACTTTGTATGACAACACTAGTTAAACATAGATTTGTGTATTAATGTACACAGTGTGTATTATAAATTAATACTTACCAGAGATATATCGTAGTTGTGGTATAGACTGTTATTTCCCAAGCAGTGTGGGGGGCATCCTGGTGGGGCAGCCCTCCCCTCCTGCGAGCCATGTGTCAAGCTGCAGCCCAGAAGATGCTCTTGGAGCAGAACAGGCCCAGGAGTTTTGGTGCTCCTAGCACCACCCTCTCCCTCCAGGGAGCAGTGAAGAGTGCTCAGCATGGAGGAGCAGCTGCGGAGGCATCCAGCAGCAACCTAGGAGCAGCAGGGATGATGTAAAGCCATAACCAGCTGACTAGCTCACACTCCTGCACTGACTCTAGCTCTGCTCCCAGAGGAGAATCTGAGTCAGAGATGGACATGCCTCCTTTTTCCTCCAAGGCTGCCTGATCCTGCTCCAGCCTCACTGCTGCAAGGTGAGCACAGAAGTCCTGCCTCCCCAGGGCACGAGAAGAAGCCAGCCCTTGCCTGGAAGAGCACGGCAATGGGAAAGCCAGAACAGCGTCTGCTGTCCATGAAGGGCAGGAGATTTTGGGGCTGCGGTTAGAAAGTATTTGCACCCCTGCCTTGTCAGCCATGGGACCAGCACCACCGTGGGCTGCAACGGTGGAGGTAGCCCTGCCATGGGACAGTCCTGTTTCAGCGCAGCCCCTGGGCCCAGCCAGCGCTGCCACAGGGCCTGTCACTGCAGCAATGGGAAACGTGGCCCCGCTGCGACCCGGCACAGCAATCTGCTACCTCCCACCCCACAGCCAGCACAGTATGTAATGCAGCCAGGTTTTAACCTAGCCTTGGAAATTAATTAGTTATTTTGGTTTGATTTTTTTTAAAAATAAAAACACTTTATAGAAACCAGATATCTTTTAAAGTAGTTGGTCAATGAGGAGGAAAGAAGGTTATTGCTGTATTCTGATACATGGGATTTATTACTGTCCCTCAGCAGGGCCCTGCACATGGAGCCCTGCAGCCACCACGGCTTGTTGCCCGTGTGGGGTGGGGGCTCAGAGCACCTATGAGTGCAGTGGGCCTAGGGACTGTGCCAGCATGGGAGAGCTTGGACACCTTGGTGCCTCACCTGCTCACTCCCAAGCTGTTTTACTTTCTTCACTGTCCAAGTCTTCATCTTCCTCTGCATATAGTGCATCCCTGTCCTCCTCTTCCTCCTCCTCTCGAGCCAGCAGCTTCTTGAAGACCTCATACTCCTCTCGGGTGGAGGAGGCCAGGCTGGTCAGGAAGTCTTCCTCTGGGAGCTGAAGGATGTCCTTCAGTTTTGGGTTACAGGTTTGGGTCTGGCCTTTGTGCGGGGTCTGGTAGAGCCCCCGGCGCTCCAGGAAGATGTGCCGGTTCCTGAGCTCGGCAAAGGGCATTTGGAAAAGACGGGCCTTCACCATCTCCTTCTGCTGGACCCCCATCCTGAAATACGCGTACTGCGGGCGGGACAGGGTGTTTCACGCGCAGCCCCGGCCCCGCACTGCGCTCCCGGCCCTGGGGCCGGTACCCGCCCCGCAGGAGACG